TTAAAAAATGCCACGTGGAAATGAATTTAATGACAATTTTTTTTTTTTTAAGTAATAAGAATATTTTTTAATGTCCAAGTTGGTTTGTCCAAAAAATTCTATTGGAACTGAGTATCATTTTTTAGTGCCAATGCATCAAAAATAAACTTCTCGTAATACTCCTAAAAACCTTTAGAACAAACAAGAACACTGGGAATTTACACGAAAACAAAAACTGCGATTAGATAAAAGAATATCGAAAAACCCAGCGTTACAGAGGTACGTACACGTGTATGTACATTTGTAGTTCCGAACGTATGTACAGTGGCGGGAATATAAATAGGTACCCGAAATTTTAAATATTTTTGGCCATATTTCTTTTGTTTATTTTATGTTTATTATTTTTATGAAAGTATAGCGCACTATCTAACAAAAAAACAATGTTAGTCCGAATTTCAAAATTTATGAATATTCGACAAGTTTCATCAAAATTTTAAATTCTTTGCACATTTACTGCCCTTTGAAGACAAGAGGACAAAAACCTGCTCTTTTATAGGGTTGAGTGTAACATCAAAAATAAATTTCGTACCGGGTGAGGGCAACATTTTTTTGGTAGAAACGAAATCACCATTAGAAAACAATTTGGTATGCAATTTTGTAGCCCACTACATTTTAGTTGAATAAAGAAAGTGCAAGTTTGAAGTAGCTAGAACTTATCGTTGATGTTTGGCAATTTTGTTTGCTAACGGCGCACAGTGTTTCGATACTATACTATAAAATGACTTAGGTGTAAATAATTGATTTTTCCCCAATGCAAAAAAGAGGCCGAAAAGCAAAAATTAAGAAGATCAAAAATTACATATATTTGCAAAGTCGCGCGCAAAGATCAAATTATTTATTCTAAAACTACATAAAATTCTCTAAAACATTTGTCTAATTACAAGACCTGGCGGACCGGTACTCACACTTTTTTTTACTAATAATCTTTAGCATCTACATTTCAAAGTAAATTTTTTTGGTAAGAAAAATAGGAAAGTACTAAATAAAATTTAATGGGCTACAAAATTACATACCTAGCATTTTGTACCAAGTTCAAAATTTTGACTAACATGGTTCTTACAAATTAAGGGGTTAGAATCAAAAGGATCTAAGTAGGTCTGATATTTTTTTTTTTTTTTTAGATAATTAAGGTTACGGTTGATTACTTGTTGTACATTCTGGGTAAATGCATTTGAAATGATTCTTGCCTAAATAAATGCAGGTTAATTAACTAATTTAAATGAATGTTACTCTTTGTCACCAAATACACACTATATTTAACTAACAAATTTGGGTATAACTTATATTTTCAAAAAATGTCACTAAGACCCTTATGATTCTAACCCGTTCAAATATAAATATTAAATATTAAATAAACAAAAAACAAAGTAGCCAAAACTTGTTAAAATGTCGCATCTCCATTTGTTTGCCCGCCACCGTATATACTACATAGATATATTAATTAACCTTTTAGGCCCGCAACTTCTTTCTAACATAAATAATTATATAATTATCATTTCCATTAAATTTTTCTTTTAGCACGGTTTCGATCAATCATTTATTCGCGGAAATAATCTTGTTTTAATGCGACAAGTGTCAATGTTGGCTGATAATGATATCATGTAACATTCTTAGTACATGTATTCAAATTTATTTCAGCAAAAAATCAATTAACTGCTGATTAATATATGGGATTTATATTTAATCACAACATACTCCTTAAAAGGGTTTTTATTCGCAGTCATATTAGACAATTAATATGTAGTACTAGTACATACTTTACATACATATATATATATACATATGTTTTCAGAGAACTAAAGTTACGCCAAACGAACTCTTATGATCCCATTATTTATGTATTAAAATTTAACGTCAAAAAAAACTATGCGAACTCTCACACATCTAGTCAAAGAAATGATCTTTTCAGCGCTCAAAACATCGAGTTGATGGGTCTGATGTGCATGGTAGCAAACCATCTATATATTTGAAAATAATTTTAATGTTAAATACAATCGATGATCGCTAATCGATAAAAATTTCAAATAACAAATACCAGTTGGGATGACAGTGACAATAGTTAGTTTAGAATCTGGTCGCCGGGGACCAGTAGGGCGCAGTGGATGAGGCTGCGGTCGACTGAAAACACAGCACTCCGGACAGCGACCGCATGTCTTCTGATGTCACCAGAACATCACCTGCATGACGAGGCGCAAATGCTCCCCATAAAGGAGCACAACACAATGTAGTACTGCAAGCAGTTCTTAGTAGGGAGCCACAGACGTGGACACCCGAAGAGACACTTGCTTGCAGAGGAGCCCTCGCCAAGGCATGTCAGAAGGCATCCATACGAACTGGCGGACGAAGTCCATTGGTTCATTAAGCAACCTCTGGACCCGACAGCATATCGACAGGCCCTGAGCGGCATTCCCGTTTATTGAGCTTGACGACAACGAGCTTGCGTCACTTCAAAAATATTGCACACTTTTTTGAGACACCGTTAATTAGATATTGTCAAGGTAAAATTATTTTATTTATGTATGCACATACTAAGAGCTTTCATTCATGCATGTAAAGTAATTATTATGAAGTAAACCACTAAAGAGGAACTCCCTCCGACCAGCATGTGGCAAATCGTGGCCACATAAAAGAAACACCAATATACTATTACGTTGTACGTTGGAGGTGCTTATTGCCAACCTTTAATAATAACTGAAAATGTAGTGCCACTATGTATATCGCTACCTAAGGGTGAAAAGGTCTTAACTCAACTTTTTCTAAAATTTAGTTTTTGATGCAGGATGACAGATAAGGCCACAAACTACATCCATTTTTGGTCTCTCCTGAATAATTTCAAAAAATGGACTTGGCACCTTTTCACCTTTAAGTGACAATATATGTATGTATATTTATATGTATACAATACATGCTTTAATTCTTCCTTGGCACGCGATCAAAATTTGAAAATACTTCTAACAATATTAAACGTTAATGCATACACGCGCCCACATGCCATCTACCATATTTTCACATACTTAGACACATTTTTATAAGTATATGTAGTACATGAACATCTACATACTTACAAACCCAGTAGTTATTTACAGGAGCTAAAAGCCCTCCCTGAGAGTAAAGAGGCCTTCCACTCTGCATTCCTTCCTTTTTCGTATAGATTGGACGGCTTCTGCTTTCGCTGCCCATAAAATGGCTTCCAGAAAAGCTTTTGTAGGACGTATGTACTGCAGAAGATCTTTTGGTGGAGTTCTTCTAAAGTTGATTCTTTAGTTTATTTAAAAAAAAACAGTATTCCTTCCTCATGTACTTATTTAATCTTCATATGTTTTTTACTACTTACAATGCATTTCGAAGTTTATTTGTAATGCAGGGAAACACTTTTTTCAGTCCTTCTTGGCTAAGCCTTTTAGAATGGCTTCACTTAAGAAGGCCTACCTAATTTATCTTCTGGCAATGTAGAAATAGTTAAGCGCACGTGTAAATCGCGGCACCTATATCATTTACTAATGTATGCTACCGATTTCTTTTTGAAAATTCTCTCCTATTTTCATTTTTCTTCCTATTCAAAAATTGCATTCAAATAAAAAAATAAATAAAAATTTACTATGATAAAAGGATTTAAAATGGCAGCGGAAGGTTTACGTCAGTGTCTACTGCTGTGGAGCGTCGACTATTGGAATCTAGAAGGTAATCAAGCATGCACACAACCCGCCAACCAACCATTCTGCTATAGTACCTGGTATATAACATCCTGCCCACATTTACTGCATACAATCAATTCGTAAATCAATTTATTCGTTTGATTACTTTTTCAAATTTGAATACGTTATACCCTTGCGTTTTTCCGTATGTATGTTTCACTTTTGATTCGTTTGTGAGTTTGTTCCTTTGCACTGTTATCCTTTGAATTGTATTTAGTTTCATTGTTATAGTTTTATATGCATTGTTATGCGCAGTCAGTAACTCCGCCCACTTCCTAATTTCTTTACTCGACTCGATGGAGAAGCAATTTTCACATGCAAATCGACAGTCGCCTTTAGTTTGACTGCAGTGAATGCATTTGTGTTTTGTTTTTTTTTTTTTTTGATAACTTTTGTTTATTTAATTTATTCATATAATTCTTTGGAAATGCAATGATTTAATAGATGATGTCTTAGTTTTTCAAATTTGCATATTTTTTTATTACAATATCTTTTATTTTCTATCATTATGCATTAATTCATATCTCATTTCTGCATATAAATAAATATTTAATGCAAATAACTGTGCATTTTTCTTACGCGACTACTGCTTTATTTGTTATTTATTTATTTATTTATTTGTATTCCCTTTGTATTTTATTTATTCAGTTATGGCTGACAGTGTTTTCAAGTCGCGTGACATTGGCTTGCGTGCCCAGAAGAAGATCCTCTCGCGCATGGCCACCAAGAATATAGCGAAAACATTTATTGATGGCACAACCGCATCGCTGCTTGATAATTTATATCGCCTTTGTAAAATGCATGTAAGTGCGCTCCAATCAACTTTTGCTTACCATCTATCTACACCAACCTACATACATATGTTACATACATACTATATAGCAATTACTATGTGTGAGAACTTTTTACTCGAAGATGCATATTAATATGTAGTACAGATTCATTTCATTCACTAATCATTAACTTTACAATTATATTCACATATGTATGCATACGCAATTATAGACGGGTAACAAAGTCAAAGCGGAGAAGCTGATAAAGAATATAATTAAAATCGTTATCAAAATTGGTGTCCTACATCGAAATAATCAATTCAGCACCGACGAACTGAAGGACGCGGAAGTATTTAAGCGGAAGTTTCAAGTAAGTGATGTCAATTGGAATAAAAATGATTACAATTATATAGTCGTTACATACACCTGCAATAAAATTTAATATATTGGCTTGCATACGAAAGTATCGGTGTGAATTTATTGAAATATGTAGGCAGGTACTTGAAAGTTTGCTAAAAGTATTGTATGGAGAAAATTCAGGGACTTGTAGTCATCGGAAAGCATTCAAAGTTATTGGGCTGTGTGAATAAAAGCTTAGCAATTCATCTGGCCCATTGATTCGACGGCCGATACATTTTAATGTTAAAAAGAACTACCAAATTGTTCAACAGCTGCTTCCAAGATTATTGCTGTTGTTGTAGAACAGGATGCAAGCCTCCAGTTGTCCTGCCGGTTCTCATCTTTATGCTCCGATCCTGAAAGCTGTATTTTGGGACGATTTATCGTAGAATTGTTGGCGCCGTCGACGTTGACATTGCGGTTTAGGCCATTTTCGTTTACTGATGTTGTGAAGAGTGCGGCGGAGGATTTAGCCGCAGAAATTTGCAGTTTTCTGGCGGTAAAGAATCTTGCATGGTCGGAGAAAAAGCCAATAATCTTTTCGTAAAGATTTTCATGTGTGTAGATTAAACAGCATCAGGAAAATGACGCCACTTTGGGGGACAACTGGCATCCACACAGATAAATGAGCCGTTTATTTTACCTGTTTCTGAAGGCGTCTGTTATTCGTTCAACTTCATCAACCAAAGGTAAAAAGTTTTTTTTTCATTAGTTTATGACGGTAGAACAATCTACAGATGCATTCAGTTAGAAGTAAACAACCATTTAAGCGGGAAAGGTGGACGAGACTTATGACAGTTTAAAAATAAAATTGTACGCCGACTCCGAACGGCGATTGTATTTTTACGAGAAGCTGTCTTTCATGGCAGAACTACAGAAGAAAAAACCCTGTTTTCTAATTTTTTTTTTTGATTTGTGCTTTGACCAGGATTTGAACCCAGGCCACTACACCACAGCGACCGCCATGTTTTTTTGTTTTTTTTTTTACTTTTTATATTTTTATTTGTTTACGACGAACGACGTCGGGTGCTCTGCTTGTATTAAATAAATTTTCTCCTTCTAGAATACCCAACTCTCGGTGATTTCCTTCTACGAAGTGGATTACAGCTTCGATCTGCCGTATCTGCAAAAATCCATTGCCGAATCACATGCCGCCCTCAAGTCAATTGTTCAACGCCACCTCACCGACAAGTCTTTAAATCGCATCGATGAAGTATTTGATTTTTTTGGTGATGCTTCACTCCTTGAAACCGCCTTCAAACCCGATTCGCCATATCGTGAATTAATGGGAAAAATCGTCAGCGATATTAATACTGCCATGGAAACAGGAGATATGTAAGTGAGTGTGCGCGGCATAGGGCCGCCATTTTTTTTTTTTTTTTTTTGTAAAAGACACTATAATTCGCTTTAGACTCATCACATCTCTCGTCCAAAGGACTGCAAAGTACAGAAAAGTCCGAAATATAGTGAAAGGCTTAAATGATATCTAGGTCATTAGAGAATTGCAACAACAAACCAAAAATAAAGTAATGTAATAAATTAAAGAACTTTTATCGAATACGCTTGTTTTAATTTATATGTATGTAATAAAATAAAAAGAAACCTGTCGATCGATGATGATAACGGCAAAATAATGAAATGCGCACTGTTGTATTGTGACGTGTTTGATGATGGCGTTCATGACGATAATGGTGATGGTGTAGATGTCGCATGATTGTGCTAATAATGCACGTACATACATTGTACTTTTGATGCTATTGTCTAAGCATTCTAATGTTAACGTCGTTATTGATAATGACCAATGATAGCACTGACGATAATATTTATTATATAGAACTAGCAAATCTGACAATTGAATTTTTTATCGATTGTTTTTCTATAGTGATATTAAGTAAAAAAAAATATATAGAAGCACAGAAACTCTTACAAGCAAAGAATTTGCGGCAGTGCTGAACAAGAAACAAATAAAATGAATGTAAATGAAAAGAAAGTGAGAGATACATATGTACATTAGGGTGGTCTTTAAAAAATCAAATGTACGATTTTTTCCAGTCTCATCCCTTCAATCGGTAATAGCACACTGTCACATGTCACAGATATCACTATAAATTTTGGTACCGATTGGAGACGGTTGAGGCGTGTCGCACAGGGCGCAAAGTGCAGACTCCTATATAGAGACTCGAAAAATTTAAATTATTTTTTTTTTTTATCTACTACCCAAAAAGGGGGTAAAGGGGTCAAAGGCCAGATGCCTCTATGGACTCAAAACATTAAAAATATTTTTTGTAACTCAATACCCAAAATCGATACTACTAAAGTCGAGGATATCACATTTAAATTTTGGTCCCGATTGGAGTCGGTTAAGCCGTCTTCAAAGGGTAATCTGAAGTTTGACCCCTGTGCGACACGCCTTAACCGACTCCAATCGGGACCAAAATTTTGTACGTGATATCTGCGACTACGGTAGTATCGATTTTGGGTATTGGGTGAAAAAAAAATAATCTTAATGTTTTGAGTCTCCATAGAGGAATCTGAACTTTGCCCACTGTGCGACACACCTTTACCATCTCCAATCGGGACCGACCAAAATTTATGTGAATGTGATATCTTCGACTATAGTCGCATCAACGTAAGTGTTGAGGCTTAGAAAATTTGATTTAAGAATTTGCTTCCTACATTTAAGGACCACCCTAATTTAATTAAATTTTTAATTTAAATTTAATTTTTTATGATATGGAAAATAGGTTTGTTCGTCGAGCAAAAAATTTGTACGAATTTGTACAAATTATCACGATTTTTGCCCAAATCGCGTTCGTGCAGACCAAAAAATTATCCAACACTCAAAAATTGTGAGAGCAAAGTGACAGTTCTCTTGGAGAGAAGTTGCAAATTCTTGCTGGAAAAAATTTTGCCAGCAAGAATTTGCAAACACGAAATACATGTGGTTGTGGTGCATGGTTGCATTTTTGTCTACAATAATTTGAATAAATTAGTTCGTTAAATTTAAAAATTTATAAACACGAGCGATTTTTTTATGAAAAAAGGAAGTAAATAATTGTTGATATAATTAATTTAGTTAATTCCAATGATTTGAACTTAATTCGGCTGAAAAAAATGGTATTCGCAATCGGAATGCAATTGCAACCAGAGTCGATTTAATAATCCCGACAGCTAGTACGATGAAGAAATTGAAATGTATGTTAAAGAAAGTCAGAACAACAAGAAATATACATGTATATCCTGTTTTTGGCCATCCGAAAGAATTTTAAAAATTCTATAAAAATTGTTTATGTTTGAAATGCAACCGTGGACGCCAGCTGGCAGCGAAACTTGCAAATTCCTGCAAATTTGCGTTCGTGCAGAAATTTGCAAGTTTCTCAACATGAGAGAGAATTTGAGAGAGTTTTTTCTTACTCTCTGATATTTTGAGTGTTGGATAATTCTTGCTGGATTTTCGACGAACAAACCTAATATTTCTTTTATATTCAAGAAGATAAGCTTTGTTTAAGGGAGATATAATGGGTATACTTTTCGAATACCATATGAGCATGCAATATAATACATTTCGCATACAGTAAACCTTTCCAACAAAGTGGAAACATTTGTTGAAATACTTTTTCATTATAAAAAAGCAAGACGGAAGCAAAACAAAATACATCTAATTTTTGTATTATTATAATCGATACCACCTTATATGAATTAGCCTTGATTAAAACAGCGAAAATTAAAAAATAAATTTTGAAAAAGCGACTTCAAAGTTACGTTTTGTACGATGTTCTGGCAATGTGAAAAAAAAAGAATGCAGCTGGAAATGTATCTATGCGTAGGACTTGGTAAGGCTTATAAAATCCATTTGCACTCCCAAATTTAACGAGAATATTTTCCATACAAACAATGGAATTGCAATAAAAGTTGGCGTCCTGTCCTGTTCGATTAATAATCACTGTATCAAATGTCATGTTATTAGATAAGATTTACAAATGAAAAAATAAAATGGCATCGATGCACAAACGACACCTGTAACGGCCCAAGTTAGAAAAAAGACAAGTCACCAAATAAGTCATAAAAAGCAAGTTCCAATTTTTATTTATACTACGTGATAAGTACAAACAAACATGGAATAAAGATTTAAAAAAAAAAAAACATCTTCAAACGCCTTAGGGACATTTTTCAAAGTAATAGCTACTAATAAAAACAATATTAATAAACAAACAAGATAACCTAGACTTTGCTAATAGCTTGTACATATGTATGTTTGTATTCCAATATACTCAACTAAGCAAATGAACACTTTTGTATTTTCTATACTACATACATAAATGACTAAATATATGCGTTTACTTAAACTATGTTAAATAGTATATACATACATACTACAAATGTACGATTAATAAATCAAAACTTTTGGTACACCTTTTAGCCATTGCCATCAAATGTAATGTTGGAAAGATGAGCATTTGTTTGATTTGAATTCCTGTGCTGAAAACAGAACATACATACATACCTAATTATGTGGGTACATAATCCTACATCAATCGAGAATTCTCATGTGCAAAATACTATGGCATACTGTTTATGATAAGAAATATAAAAGCTTTACTTGGCCTAAAGTACTTAATCAAAAATAATGATATCACTGATTTCTTTTCAAACTGGAACTTCAGGACATACACATACGAGGGTATATTTTCTAAATTATTAATTAGCTAACTTTGATAATCGTTCTTGAGTTTTTTTTGGATTATCACACTTTTCTAGTAAATATATTTTCTGTTTTACAAAAGTGGTACAAATTCGCTGAAATTATTGACCCTGCTTGAATGTATGAAGTTTTGTAAAGGAAACAAAGTGTGTTATTAAAAAAAAAAAACATGCCCCGGCAATATATATACATATGTATGTATGTAATTTTAAAAAGAAAAGCAATGCTTCACATTCCTAAAAGCTACATATAAGAAATGTAGCATTTTTTGTTTAATATTGCAAAAGTAAACGCAACTGACCTTTCCATATCCAAAAGCAAACTAAAAAACATTCGTTTAAGAATTGTAACAGACATATCGTTTAAAGTCCTTTATTTGAATAAATTCTTATACATATGTATGTATGTATTAACTACTCAAATAATGTACTCGACTTAAGTTAATGTACTCGTATTTACCCACTGATATACCAACGATTATTATACGCATACACACGCACTATAACGCTATGAAATATATCAATATATGCATTTTGTATATACTCTATATAAGATTTTTACATTCCTTTGTGTAAAATAATTTTTTTTCTTACACTATTTTTGACCATACAGATTCTAAAATATGCCACACTAAACGGTTGCATTCTAATAAATAAATAAAATATTTATGTACAAATCAAATGTTGCGCATTCTACATTCTTACTATCAAATAAAGCCTTCTTAAAAAAAGGATAATTACGTAGACATATTTATTTTATGACTATTTATTAAATCGTATCAAATATATGTACTTACGTAAATAGTGCCGTGTTTGAAAAGTCCTGTTGAAAGTTGGTTAACGGCAAGGGATTCGATTACATTTGCATACTTGCGGTTTTAGTTTCCTTTAATAGCCAGTTGTGGAATTTTAGTTTAAAACCTTCTAGTTACTTTATTTATTATCTTCAAATTAGTGTGCTGGAAATATTTGATATTTAAGTTAAACATTATTGTATTTGTTACGTGTTATATTATTCCGTTTTAAGTATCAATTTAGTTAAAATAAAAATATTTGAACACGAAAAATCTGAATTTTTAATGATAAAAAAAACTGAACTGAACTGAAAAGACTTCAATTCTCATATATAAATTTAAGATACGGGTAATAATTGGTATGGGACCACCCCTAGGGTACCGCATTTCCAATAAAAAAAAAAGAATTATCGAAAACGGTTCACATGGTCTAAAGTTCTTACAAGCTTGGTTTTTATCCAACGTCCCGGAGAGCTAGAGACTTGAAACTTTCAACTTGGCTCAGAACCCGATGCAAATGCAATATGAAATATACTAATTCATATGCAAGCTGACGCAGGTTTCGAATGCACCGTATTTATGGTCCGATATGATTCATATTTGGAAGTTATATTATTTACATGTTGGCCGATAGGTGGCTTAGCAAGTGAAATAGTGGAAATAAGCGACAATAATTAACAAGGCTAACTTAGCACAGTACGTAGGCAACTGGCTGAGTCAGTGGGATCGTCGGTTCGAATCGTACTGAAAGAAGTCTGATGAGGAAATGTGGTGATTTCCGAAATAGCTTTCATTGAAAACGGCTTCGAGCTCAATAAAAATTGTTGAACATATTAAGAACCTATATTAATTAAATGGAAGGAAAAAACTCCCAACTGAACGGTTACTTTTATTTTTTTTCCAGTTCAACATATTAAATCTTATCTTAAATTATATCCTCATTAATGAGAAACCCTTATTCCGCACGTTTTTCTTCCAAAACTTTGTCCCCAGATTTTCCTTGATCGGCAAGTCGTTGTTGTTTAAATAATTCAATAAGTTTTTCCGTTGCCGATTGTTCAACGTCAAGTGGACGCGATGCGGCTGCATTAGGATATGTCTCAAAATTAGCTTCTGGAGTACGGAGCGCAAAAGGCGTCCAAGGACCCTGTATAGAAGGTATATCGGTATGCCACATTTTACGTAAACGTAGTGAGCTGGAACTGCCGTTTTGAGTTTTTAGTAACTCAAGCCATTTGGAAATGTCATCTTTGGTGGCATTGCGACAGCTTAGCCATTCGCGATCACCATTTACTATCAAAGGGATAAGTTATTAGATTTTTATATGTTAAAACTTAAAAAATCATTTCATGCTCACAATATTCGCCAACAAGCACAGGCCCTCGGTGGCGGCGTGGTTTTACGTAAACCACAACGCCGGGGTTTTCTTTGGCAAAGTCAATGAGATGGTTTTCGATAAAATCTCTGTTTAAATATAAAAAAGAAAGTGTATTGTTAAGGTAAAAGAAATATGTAAACTGAATACCTCATGCCCCGGCTGGATCCATTGTTCTTACAGAATTTTAATGTAACGCGTTGCAATTGGCAAACATATCGGCCTAAACCGTTTTGAAGAGGCGCACGTGGAAATCCAGATTTAAGAAATATATGGCTATTGGACATTTTTTATGTTTCCTGAACTAACTTCTCCAAACGATGATGTTAAACACAGAAACAACAAAACTAACCTCGATGTTATTGAATAACTTGGGATCAGCTGCTGTGAGGGTGGTTCGTGGAAGAGTGGAGACGATGATTTGTTTTAGAGTAACTGCTACACATAAACCTTCTAAAAGTGATTTTACAGCTGCAAGTTGTTTGCGATTACATTGCTTATAGCCAAAGGATATCATAAAATATGTCTTATAAGTTTTTAATTTTACTTTTAATTTTTAAAATCATTTACGACATTTCATAATTTTGAAGAAATATGCCACCCTGTTGTGACATAACCAGAGAACGTAAACTTATACGTTAACGTTCTCTGACATAACCTTTTGCTATGAATTGACATTTTATAAGTCACATCTTTGGGTGGAATTCCTTGATTCTCACACAAAAAACTAGGATGAACTTTGCGAAAATCTTGCGCGCCTGTAAAGGGATGCAATGGCAGTTGTCGCGTGAGTATGCCTTCAAGTCGGACTTAAAAATTAAGTGGGTACGTCCAGAAAAAATACCATGTACCAAGCCTGAGAAGAGTGGAGATTTGGGCAAGTTGCCCCCGGTAAACGAAAAAGAATTCTTACTTGATTATAAGGACTCCAGAGAACTTCAAAGGTAAGTTAAGTCTTAGATGTACAACAAATGAAGTTTCATTATGAAAATTTTACAGCGCTGATCCAATAGTACAATCGCTTTTCCAACTTGGTAATAACCGCTGCGCGGATACTGCACGTTATTTACGAGAGCAGTTGATCAAAGAGGTTCAACGTCATCCGCTTGATTATGGTTCCATGGAAGCAAAACGTAAGAGTATTTATACACTTGTTGTTTGTTATCTTACTGAATTGATTGTTTACAGTGGCACGAATGACTGTAAGAATCCGCATTATGCAAGATGAACTTGAGCAATATCCCCGCAATACCAAATTGAAAGTCGCTCTGAAGGAACTTATTGATAAGAGAAAAAAGTTTTTGAAATATTTGCGTCGTTGGGACTATCGGCGATTCGAATGGATGTTGGAGAAGCTCGATTTAGTGTACAAACCTCCTCCAGCCGAATTCCATTGGATTACAAGAAAAGAATCGCTGCAAAAGCTCACAGACGCACATTGTGAAAAAATTAAAGAAGAACGGTTGGCTGAATATCGCAATATGTTGGACGAACAAAAAATTCCATTTTTGGAGGATGCCATCAAGAAAATGGAATTTGTGCGAAAAGAACAAATTGATTTAGAAATACCAGTCTCTGTAACGGAGGAGCAAATAAAGGATTTTAAAAGGGAACTAGAGGCGCTAAAATCAAAACGTGAAGTAAAGGTAGATAGCAAGAAATAAACAATAAAAATCAGTTCATCTTTAACAATAAAATAAAAGCATAAAAGTTTTAAATATGTATCAATATATAAGTTGTAACTGAACTAGTTCAATATCCGGACTCAAAAGTCATTGGGTCCTTCAATGGGTTATTTCGAGTTATTTCCCTAACCAAATGCATACCTCTCAAATCGACAGCTAAAAGCAGAAATGACCATCGTATAGAAATATAAACGAAGTTTATTTGCGCAAACACTGCGGCTTCAGCCTTAAATTCAAATACACTTCCTAGTTTTCATTTAAATTTAAATATACGAACCTATAATTAAACATTTACACAAATGGTGAGTTGCAATGAAGTTTGAAAAATTGGTAAATACGAATGCAATGTTGAACGGCAGCCAATGTATGGGAATCGAATATGCATTACTTAAATTCGGCTTCCAATGAATAGATGCAGATCGCAACAATTGTAGGAACTACCAAACTCGGTCTATTAAGCTATTATCCTGTGGTTTTTGATTCATTGTCGCCATTTGTTGATGGTAATTGCGCATTTGATTACTCCGTCGCGGCTGAGCTAAATACTCAAACATACTTTGAGAATGCTGTGAGAGCATTTTACTCAAATCACTGGGCATAGGATCTGTCCAAAAGAAATCATGATTTAACGCCGTGTCTGCATCTATACGTTTCTTTGGATCAAGTGTTAACAACTTATCTAATAGATCACAGCCATTAGGGTCCTTTACATAAGGACGCAAACGCTCCTTCACTCGACGTTTCTGATTTTTAGGTAACTCTGCAGACTTATACAACTCTAGTTCTTCCACACCGGGCCACACATCGGGAGTGAACGATCCACATAACTGAGAGATAAACGTAAGTTGCTGCTGCTCTGTATTGCCCTGCATAATGGGTGATCGCGTCCACATCTCAGCCATAATACATCCCGCACCCCACATGTCTACAGGTGGACCATAATTTCGGTCGCCCAGTAGTAATTCAGGTGGTCGGTACCACAAGGTAACGACCCTATTCGTATAACGATTTTTGATATCGTTCTTTGGTATACTAAATGCACGCGCTAAACCAAAATCTGCAAGTTTTAGCACACCATGCTTGGTAATAAGCACATTTGCAGCTTTCATGTCACGATGCAGAATCTAGGAAGGTCGTTTGAAGGATTATAAAAACACATTTTTTTGATTTATCTAATAAATACCTTGTTGCTATGTATGTAATATAGCCCATTTAGCAGTTGCTGCATAACCTTCTTGATTTCACCAAGGCTAAATTTTACATTTATATTCGACAACAACCCAGCCAAATCATGTTCACAAAAGTCAAAGACCAAATAAAATGTTGAACGATGGCCATTGCTTGCAGTGGCTTTAGTTCGACATATCTCGATGAGATTTACGACATTTTCATGTTTTAATAGCTGCAGTATTCGAATTTCACGCAACGCAGTAATAGGAAACTACAAATTAGAAAATATATGTGAAAGACGATGTTAACAAATTTGGAATTGAGGTTTGCTTACGCCTTCTTTTTCGTTGTCCATTAGCACCTTCTTCATAGCTACGAATTTTTTATTACTTTTCTTCTCGCGCGCCTTGAATACTTCCCTGAAAGTGAGTTTGACATTTTTGGGAATTCCGAAAACCAGCAACAATATTGAAAATAGAGCGTACTGCACTTACCCAAATGTGCCCTGACCAATTTTCGCTACCTTTTCATATTTGGACGATTCATCACAGTATGGGAAATCATATTCCTCAATATATTTTTGCTTTTCGGCCAATGAAAGTGTACGGGAAGAACTAGAGGATGTAACACCAGCTGCAGACTGCATCGAATGCGGGTGGGGAACATGCTCGTCCCGTCCACGAGAGGACATGTTGTATGGCCCGTTCTGGCTGCTGTTTATAATTGATTGTTATCAATGGGAGATTGCTATTAATTTCTTTTTTGTGCCTGCAGAAATAGTCGCCTTTTTATGAATATTTTGAGCAATATTAAAGGAAAAATCACGAAAAACTTGGCTAGTTCAACCACAAAGCGAAATGCAAATTTTTTGACAGCTAAGCCGATGACATAACAGAGTTGTTATATCCGCGCTTTTGATTCGAGACTCGCAACTGTAGGGAACTTTTATAAAGGGTATTCAAAGAACATACGATATTTACAAAATTGTAGATCTTGCAAAAAAAAGTAAATTTCAGGTAAAGGAGATAAAAATGATATTCGTCTCGAAGTTCGAACCAAAATAAGGCACCAAACTTTGCGAAAAATTCTATGATGGTGAAGGGCTGGGATATGCGTGTGCCTAAATTTGATATTTGCAATAAATATGGACTCAAAGAAAAAAACCATTTCCCCGTAAGGCCAAAAAATTCTACCACGAGCCTGGACATAGATCATATTGAATTTTTTGCTGTATTTAATTACATATTTTAAATCTGTAATGCGATACGAAAGAGCAATACGTTGCGATAGGCAAATACATTGTAAGTAATATGCTGTGCCGATTGCCTATCATATCGCATTTCTCTTTCGCACCGCATTACAGAGTAGCCCCCAGGGCTATCACTGAATCCGACGAAGTCGAACTTTCATGCAATCTACGAAAAT